GGTGAGTGGTTGGATGGATGGGTGAGTGAGTGGTTAGATGGATGGTTATTTGGATGGATGGATGGATGGATGGATGGATGGATGGATGAGTGAGTGGTTAGATGGATGATTATTTGGATGGATGGAAGGATGGATGGATGGATGGTGAGTGGTTGGATGGATGGTGAGTGGTTAGATGGATGGATGGTGAGTGGTTGGATGGATGGATGGATGGATGGGTAAGTAAAACTAGTTGCATCAACAAAGGGTAATAAAGACAGAGCAACATATTGATTGACAGCTGTACAGAAACAAATAAAATGTTCAAAAAGATCAATCAGACTGCAAATAATACCTTTAAATAACAATAAAGACTTTAAACGTGTTAAATGTATTTTAAATGTGCAGAATTAGAGGGACTACAATCAGATGGTTCAGATTTTACACAACAAGTATAAATAGTGGAGCTCAAACTGTGGGGAAAAAATAAAAAATATATATATATTTTATTAACTTTTATCTTACCAGGATAAAAACTAGTTGAGATTAAAACCCTTTTTGCCAAGGAAGTCCTTTATTTATAATATAAACTGTTCAATAAATGAACTGCACGTAAAACGTCTCAAGTTAAAGTATTTTAAGATAAATGTACAAAATCTGCTCCTGTAGCTGTTAAATTGTTGAAAATATATTTTTGTAGTCATTTAAGGGGATGATGTCATGTGTGAATTAGATTATGTTGAGTAAATAAAATCTTTTAGTTAACAAAACCTATAAACTTTATAAAAGGTAAGCTCGCCCGCTGAAGCTAACGGGAGTTGTAGATTAATTCATGCCACACTTTTCCTTCTCTCTCTTTAAATCTGATCAATATTCTAGATTTACTGAATATTCCCAAACTTAACGTTTAAAACTCTGCGTTTGAATCTCAGAGAAATGTTTGTCGTCGTGTCCTCCTCGCTGCACGTGTCAAACTTTGCTGGAGTTTCGACACAAATTGTTGCTCGGCTGCTGAACCGGCGGTGCCGAGGAAGATTTGTTTACGGCACATTCATCCTAATTCTGCTTGATGAGTGAAGTAATTCAGGCTGTGATCCTCCAGCTGTCAAATGATGCTCACCAGTTCAATCCTGCCATCGCTCACGCCGGCCTGCTGACGGTACAAAAGGACTCCCCCGCTTCCCTCTCGACTTTCTCCACACAGAGATGCGACTGGAGATAGAACGATGCATTTTTCATGAGGCGGTGAGAGCTCGCTGCTTCGGCTCGCTCTGGCTGTGTTTTGGTCTGTCACTACCTGCTGCTGCTTTTCATGATGCCAGGATTATTTGTGCAGCTGAAAACAAGCTCGCTGGATAATTGCCAGCTTGTTTATTCTGACTTTTTTTGCTGTTTTATGATACAAGCTCATCCCTAGCTCCAGCACCTACAGCGAAAACTCAGTTAGTTTTATGTGATTATTTAAAGTGTTTAATTGTATTTGTTCGTCATCATGCAGGTTGAATACACATAAAAAACTCGTATTCAGTAACTTGTCAGTATTTAAAGTTTCTGCAGCCCATACTGGATATACTGTCCCTCAGCAGCACCATCAAAACATGTTCACATCCTAAAGAAATAAGCAAACATGTCGATTCGAATGATTAAAAAAATGTAAACAGTGTAACTGATCAGTGGACAAATGGTCTGGGATGTTGAGTGAAAGTGAAAAATAAACCGACAGTTTTTGCGTGGATGTGTGTTCATGAATCTATTACCCCAAAAAACCTGGAACCACTGAGCAGATTTTAATTAAACTTTGAGTAAAATAATTATTGGCTGTACGCCTACAACTTGTTAACTTTCAGAGACGACCCGAATTCAAGGTGACTGCCGGGGCCATGTTGGCGTGGTAGTAGCTGACACTGATTCCCAACACGTAATCTAAGAACTAACAAACTGCACGGGGTTTTGCCTCATTTTGGAGTCATTTGGCATAATTGGAATCACAGCTACAAAACTAAGGTTGCATGTGGTACACGTGACATCTAGTGATCCCAAAGGCGTCGCAACCACTATATGTGAAGGGGGCGTGCCCCCCCCCCCCCCCAACACACACACACATTTAAAGAATATTAATTTAGACCCGTCCACATTTATCATGAAATATCAGTTCACCCAGCGCTGTTTCTATTTCTTCGTGAACAAATCTATTCCACTTGACTAATAGAAGAATATTCAAAACACTAAAAGTCCACTCCGGGTTTTCCTGGTTGCCTACAACAACTCCATTCATTGTTTCTCCTCGGTCATCTGCCTTGACAGGGCGCTTACGGGGGGAGGAGAGGGAGGCACCTCTGTTTTGAATGCTAGCTTAGCGCCACGTTAGTGCTGGCAGTTGCTGATGGGGGCGGGGTTAGGATGTGTGAGGGCAGCGGAGCGTGCTCTATTCACACAAGGAGAGCTGTTGGTCAGGCTACTTCTTGTTACTCTCTAAAATAGTTATTGAATGAAGTGTTTACTTATGGAGGTAAACACTGATGTTTACCAACCTTATGCAGGAAATGACATCTACTTTATTATTATTGAGCGTGCATCAGGACATCTACTTTATTCAAAATTTTCTGGGGGAGGACCCCCAGATCTTGACCAAAATTCCCTAACAGATACCGACTGTCCTTTTCAACATGTGAATTACCCAAAAGTTGAAGCAAAACTTGTGCGCTTTCTTATTTTACACAGGTTTGTTTCTCTCTTTGCTTTAACCTGATTGCCTGTACATATTTAAGATGTTGAAAATAAACCAAGCAAACAAGGTTCGATCAGAACGGTTACAACTCCATTATTTCTCAACTGAAGACGACCTCAGTCTGAAACTAGAAGGTGGCGGGCGACATGCATTCTTCAAGGAACGCTAGGCCTTTAAAAAAAATAAAAGTGAGTTCATGGCAGCAAAGATGTTTTAGCAACATTTATATCACCATATAAAACTAAATGGCCTGAACAATAATAAATAATAATTGGCTTTTGTATATGACTGCTTCCTCACCATGTCTTAAGGTGCTGACTCTGTCTACCTCTCTGCTCTGAGCTTCAGTACAAACTGCAACATGTCAACACACCGTTGTGATTTGTACTCACGGGGGTGGGATGGCCTGGTCTGGCTGCCCAAAGGAACTCCCATTGGTTAACTTTTATTTACATATATATACTTGTACTGCAACTGCAGTGAGAAATGGTGACTCATACTTTTCGCTCACACGATTTGCTGCTTGTTTCTGTCTCTTGCTCGGACTGAACTGGGTCAGAAGGCTTTCGTTCACGCTGCTTCCTCTTCTTGGAACTCACTACAAGAAACTCTGAGATTGACCGAATTCATCTCATTCAGTGCTTTTACCTCCAAACTAAAAGTTACTGAGGCTGCTTCAATGACATGTACCTGTTTTAATAGCTAGCTTGTTTTATAATATCTGTTTTTATGGCTCGACTTTTTAACTGTGTAATTTTTTATGTTGTATTTGTTGCTACCTCTTGGCCAGGTCTCCCTTGAAAAAGTGGTTTTTAATCTCAATTTTTTTTTTTTTAGCCTGGTGGTGTCTCTGGGCAGCACACCTCATCCCCAAAATGCCTCCGGGTGCTTTCAATAGCTGTCCACTGCACCACCTGGTGGTGGATGGGTTAAATGCAGAGACTAATTTTGCCATTGAATGGAAACATACAGTGCTGACAATGTGATGACATTATTATCATTGTTGTTGTTGTTGTTGTTGTTGTTGTTGTTGTTGTTGTTGTTGTTGTTGTTGTT